TGTTTATATAAAATATTATATGAAATAGAAATGATGTAATTGGCATTTGGGGCGTGCACACGTGCAATCTATGTTTTACAAATACACAAATTACTGCCAGCATTAACGCAACGATGTACGTTTTTGTTATTGTCTTGAACGCTATGCAGGGAGAACAGTTCTTTTGCACCCCAACCCATAAGCCTAACACTAACCCTCAGTCAGCCCATAATTCAATTGTTTATGTCCCCTCAAGATAACTATATGTGTTCTTAGAAGGGGCGTACGATACAATTACATTGGGGAGCGCTGGAAGGTAGGGGTAGTGTTAGTGTTGGGTTTAGGGGTGAAGGGGTAGGGTGAACTCAGGCGCTCTATATGAAATTACTTGTACAATGGAGATTAACTGGTAGCTAGGAAATATCGCTTTAAGGATTATCATTAAATAAAATGTTTTAATGATCGTTATTACAATTTGCAGTTCTTAATATTAATGAGCTTTGTCCAAAAACCAAATATCTCTGTTTTTATATGAATGTTAGTGATCACAGTTCACATCACTCCCAGGCGTGTTAATAGACACTCGGAAATATGCGATACAATGATTAGACAATGATGGTAAATTGGTTTCCGTGAAGAATAGTGTACGGAGCTTAGTCAATTTTATAAAACGTCATTATATCATCTTCAAAAAATATCACAAGTTAGAAAATGTCTATTCATTGAATTAACCGAAATGTCGGTCCATGCCCTTGTCAGTTCGAAAATAGACCATTGTAATTACCTGATGTATGGTTTATGTGTTGATTTCTAAATTGAAGATGATATATAAGAGGCTTATCGTTGACAGTAAAATGTATGACCATATCACCCCAACCTTACTAAATTCCATTCAGGGGTTGCCTGTTAGTTCAAGATTCTACTTCGAGTGTTTAAAAGCACCAGAGTATATAAACGACATACTGCATTGTCACTATGATCTAGGTTTCGTTTCTTTAACCGGTCGTTGTTTTTTACCAAATTCCAATTTACCAACTTGTGACTATGGGACGTTTTCTGTTGCTGGGCAACGTTTATGGAACGACTTACCATACACTATCGAACACATATTGACAATTTTAAACAGAACCTTAAAACCCATTTGTTCAAGAAAGTTGTCCATGATTTAAAATCTATTAGTTGTTGATTCTGATTTAATGTCACTATGTATATTATTAGCATCGGCATGGAAAAATGTTTTATTTTGCTGTAACGCGCTCTTGATCAGGTTTTCCCCAGGGTAGGGCAATGACATATGCGCCACTCCGGGGTGGTATTGATACAGATACATCAGAAGCGACACATGCACATAATGCATTGATCGTTGAAAGTGAAGCTTTATTGTCGTATTTGTCATACCCAGACAAAACGCACTCTAGTAACTGGCCGGTAACTTGAGGTGTAGACGCCTGGGGCATTCATTTGTAAGCTATCGGGGGTTGTTCACCTACTGGAACTGATTGACATATGTTTTATATTATTTAGTGTTGACGCATTGTGAAATTAAACAAATTCACTCAAAACGGTGTATTTTTTCTTTCATTCCTCGTAATAATCTAAATGATTAATAATATGACGCAAATCAAATTGCAATATGCAAATATTATTTTATCAGATCTAGGAGATGTTGGCACTGGTCCATTTACACATTAACAAAGACGTCATCGGGTGATTGTCTCATCAAGTGCGGAAACACACAAGACAAGTACTGAAAATGAAAGCATAGTTTTGGAACGGTATACGTATCACAACTTCATACTGACGTGACGGTAATGTGTTTAGCTGTTGGCTATACATTAATTCCGACTTACTGTCGAAGTCTTTGTAACGATACCATTTGAAACGCGATTCGTGATAAAAGGATTCCTCATTGTCACTAAATCCAACAGGAAATAAGTCGAAAGTGTTTGTGTTCCAACAACCCCGGTATCTACAGACCCCACACAATATAGAATTAAACGGCAATGTAAATATAATATTTTATTTTATTAAAAAAAAAACACCGAAAAACAAACAAGAGACTGTATGCATATCTAGCCACACGCCTAATTAAAAGTGGGGTATGAAAGGTTTTAAAATCAAATATGAAAAAATATGACTACAGCAGCAGTACTAAAAATGAAACCGATTACAAATATAAACAGTTGAATAATCTCTCTAAATGTCACGGTGTCAGATCGGCATTTAGATTAACTGTTGGGTTTCCTTTAACTGGACCACACGGATTTGGTTTTTCAGGTGTTTTATTTATAAAGCACGCCATCGCTTGCTAACCACCTGTCAAGAGGTACACGTTATAAAACACGATATAAAACCATATAACTGTGATAAACACAGACGGACCTAGCACCACATTCATAAAGTTATCGGCTATAAACTTGCCAAGCGACAAATACTTTATGTGACAATCTCCCGCTCTCGTATATCTCTGTTGAGGAAACTACGCCATACTATTTACAATGTCGGGTGTGAGTTGAACTAATAGATGTAATATGTATACTTGGGGGAATGGAATGCGATAAATTTCTTAAAATAATGTCAATAAAAGGAAGATAAGGTAAACTCCTCAGTATCTCATGTTTTACCCTAAAATCAGGGCATACCTAAACTCAGTATTAATAGCAGTGAAAATATTCTGTGTCAAGATCCACCTATTGTAAATTGTTCAGATATTGTCATGGGTATGTAGACGTTATTTTTTTGTTCACTGTTATGATGTTCTTTTGTCAAATAATATGCTCCGTATTTTATCATCACTTTTTTCATAGACAACGTAAAAAACATTTCGTTAATTAAAATAAAATTTAAATTGGTCAGCACTTCTATACGTGAACAGGTACCCCGAAAGGCACTATACATCGGGTTTTTTCCATATGACCTCAAGAAAAAATGTGAAACAGTGAGATATATCCCCCCAATAGAAAATTATTGTTACATGTTAACTGAGGTAATATATGCTATTTTCACTTTATTTTGTACACCAATTGTGTGTATGGTCACTTTTTAGAATATTACATTTTATTATTTGTCATCCTGTTATGAAAAGTCATATGTAAAAAAAAAAGTCATAACTTTGTTATTTTGAGTATTATCGTTGATAAACAACCACTGATTTTCAGACCACAAAACGCCGTGCAGCTTCGTTAAATTACCACCAAAATAAAAACATTCGGTGTTTATTGTTCAAATATAACAAATGAACGGTGTCCTGAGAGATCACATCGTCTCAGGAGGCTCCTGTGTTCAGATGCGGTGACATTATCTATTGGTCCAGTGTTTATTGTAAGTAGCGTGATTCACCGAAAATCGCAAATTTACGTTAAAACGTTCTACAAAAATGTTACATAAAATGCATTCCGTGTGAGGGGAACGCTACAACACGCCCGAATTCGGGTAACGTTCATATATTGTGAACGACTTATATGGTATACGGATTCTCAAACTTGCGTTTTTGCCTTCACGCGATATTGCTTTCTATAGTGTAATTCGTTCTAATTCATATATATTGACATCGCAAATAGAAAAAATTGTTGTGGATATATCTTTCACAAAATGACAATACACTCTCAGAAGTTTCGATAGTGACATATACCATCTAAAGGTACTGTGTGGTGAAGACAAAACACAAATACACTACACGGATAAAACCAAATACATGTAATTGTAATTATGGGTCACAATTAAAAATTAAAATAAAGAAAGTTTTGTATATTTCAAATACGTTTATTCTTGTATTCAATTTTCGATTTTCAAACTATGATCACTTATTCTAACGTGTGTCAAAATGTTTCTATCACTAGTATTGTATTTTATTTTGTTATTTTTTGCATTCCGAAGTCTGTTTTTAATAATTTGTTGTTCTTAATTTGTTTTCCCTATTTTGATTATTTTGACTAATATATGTTTGTTTCTTCCGAGACTCATATTATCATATAGTTGGTTGATATTTGTTACTTTCTGTTCCTTTTTGACTTTTTCATTTTCCCACGATTTTCTGCCGTTCACTGTGTCGGATTTATGTTTTCAATATTTTAACCAGTTTTGACTAGTTGTTGTAGGGTCTGTCGTTTTATTGGTTTTAGGAGAACGTAGTTGATTTAGTATTTCCTGTAGATTTAGTATTTCCAGTAGATTACTGGTATTCAACTTAATAAATAGGAGCAAACAACTTATCAAAATATTTTGTTTTAAAAATGTGACATTGTTACTCCTATCATGAACTTTCGAGTTTTTATCCCAGTATAAATATTTGTTTGGAGAAAAAATACCTAAAAAGATGTAAAAATTAACGGTTTTTGAACAATTTCCGTGGAAAGCCATGTTAAAATATTATGTCATAACAAAATAACAGTAATCATCGCAATGCTGTAATAATTCGTGACAACCATATTAAATAACTTCACATATTCTTGTAACTTCGTAATCAACTGGAATTTTGAGATACGGCGAGAACTGTTTACCCATAAGAATAATAAATATATACCAAAATCACCATTTTCATGAATGTGTGAGTGGTAGATAGAATAGCGTCAAAATTGCAGTACGGCTGTCAGCCTCCTAAAAAACTCCTGTATCCTGACCAGTACCTGGACCGGTACGACGACGACCGGTACCAGCAACATTTTTTAGAAAGGCGCCCTCTGTTGGAAACATAACCTATTACTGTTGACCAATCAAAATCGTTGTTTCACCTGCATATAGGAAACGCAGACGACAGCGGGGAATGTTTTAACATATGAACTTATCGTTTGAAACTAATGTATTATGATCGATGCAGGTATAGTGATTTTTACCCAACTCATTTGTAATTGATGTTAGTTAAGTAACAGCTCATTTGTCGTTGGTGTGTCCCTGATCATAGCGAATATCACGTAACGTTGCATGGGTTTCGTCATTTCGAGTCGGTCACAGACAACAACTTGAACACAATTTTGTTGTTTACAAGAAGCATGTTTTCCGTTTGTTTTTAGATGACATTCGCATGTTATTAAATCAAATATGAACAGACCCAATAGTGTACCAGGTAAGATGTCATCTATCATCATAACATATGTTTTTCCAGAGTCTTTGTTTAAATGAACTTTTACGCCGTGTTTTGTAAGTTGCTTAGGCCAAGGCGACAGTCCCTCGAGATGTAGGGACTGTGGCCGAGGAAAAAATCTTTCCAGTAAAAATATCTGGTTGACAGGCAGGGTTATTATTTTATTTTATTTTTCCCCAACAGGTTATCCCGTGATTAAAAGAGAATGTGTTCTGGTATTCCTCTACATCAAAAGCAAAATACTTTTTGTGGGTTTTGTCTTTAAATTTGCCCACAAATAAAATAAAATTTGCATAAAAAAATTTGCGTATGAACGGCTTAAGAAACAATTATTTTTTTTAAATATTTGCTTCATAGCTGTCTCATGTTAGTGTTTTTTTTTTATCAGGTAAAAATGGTATATTGCCAATTTTTAGTAAACGAAAACGACCCAGACAAGCTGTGTTTGCTGACCCAGTTTCAAATATGCAGAGTAATTCAATATCACAACAAGGTATGTATCATGGTGGGCTTTTATGATTTTAGATTTAAACCTCAGAAATTCAAAGAACTGAACAGCCATGTGTGCAGAATTTGGATTCATATGAGTGATAGTTTTATTTAAAACATTTTTTCAAACTATAATATACCAAATCCATACCAAAAACTCCTTCCCATTCTATCATGGCAAATATCCATATCATGGAAATAGCGAAGTTCATATAATGACAGTAATAATTACAAAATAAGATTCATGAAATTCAAGCAAAGAAGTTATTAAAAACTAAGATTGGGACATTTCATAAATGTTGTGTTAAAGTGTTTTTTGCAAGGCAGTAAAAAAAAAAGAGTAGAAATGCTTGTTATTATCTGTGCACATTGTCAGCATCTCACACGCTATTCTACAATATTTTAGTAAAATCCTGTATAATCTTAGATCTTATAGTGTTGGCTATTACATAATAGTGACTGATGCCAGTGTATCAGATTGAGGTCTGTTTTTTTGATTCAATGAACTAAAAATAACAATTTTATGAAATGAACTTTGTTTGCTGTGAAAACAGTCAGGCAATTCTAATAAATATTTATTTTTCTATAAGCAAGAAAGAAAACAAAGTTTGCATCCACTGAACGAATAATGAACAAATTGTGAAAGTATTGCTATCATGATTTTTAGAGAGTGACTGAAAAAAGATATTGTCCTTTTCTTCCAACATTTTCATTCAAATGATTGCTTTTTCATATTGTTTTTGCAGATATAGAAAATTCACTAGATTTAATTTAAAGAATCCCTTTTATCTTAATTAAATTGATTACCTTGCATAACTACTATGTCAACTACCATAGTTTTAAAATTGCTTAACGCCATGACTTGGAGGACAGGCAGAGACACAAAGGATTTCACATTTTGTCTGTTTTGGGAGTAACTATACCTTGCTGTTTAATGTGATATTTTTGCCTGCTACATATCCATGAAATAAAATTGTGCTGATATAACCGTAATGTATATAAATATATAAAATTGTGTGTTTTTTAGTGGAAAGTCTTTTCTTGAACATATTGGGGGTTGTGCACTGTTCGGAAGTTCAGTAGAAAATGACTTGTTTGTTTGTTGGTTCATGGTATTTTAAAGCTGGACATTGCCTTTAAATAACATAAGTTACATAAAGGATTTATTGCACGTTGATATCACAAAATTGCAAGACAACCATATACATATCTAGAAATATGCAAATATGTCTGTGAAAAAACTGGTTTGCTTAAAAATCAGTGTCCTTGTCTATTTTCAAAGCATATATAACATGCATTTTCTATGTTTAAATTTCAAGCACATTTTATGCAATATATCAAACCTTTCCAAGCATACAATGCATTATGTAATGTCTTTATTTAGATATACATTTCATTGACATACACATGGAATGGAATCTTCATATAAATCCTTGGTTATATCTGTCTTGATTTATACACAATACATGTAATTGTTGTTATACTTCCATTCAGAACCAACTATGAATGCAGCATGTCATGGACAGAGTTTCAATTACTTTCATAGTAACTACAATAATAATAATACCATTGGACCATTAACTTCAATGAGTAGCCAGTCAGCAGCTGGTAGTAACCAGATACACCAAAATCCGAGTAGACCAAGCTGTAACAAAAGAGCAAACACTTCTAGACCTTCATCACAATGGCAACAACAGCAGAGGAGTAGCACAAAAGGTAGGTTTTTTGGTTCATTAATTTGTTGAAAATTATGTCATATCACTTTTTAGCTCAAAGATGGACAAATATGGGTACCGGTAATTCTTGTTTTTTTGCACATAGTTGTTTATATTTCAAATTCACACTGTCCAATTGATCCAAATTTGGTACATAGCCAATTGCATTGTAACACTTGAATAAAAAATTATGTTTGTTGTGACCAAATTCAAGATGGTCATCAGTAGCCATTTAATTTATTGAGAAAAAAATTTGTTTTTTGACTTTTTTTGCCCAATTTTGCTTATATCTCAAATTCTGACTGTTCTAGTAGTCTGTGTTGTGATCCATGCCATGATGGTGACTTACTGTCATTTTGTTTGATAAAAATCTTCAATTTTCAATTGTTTTCTAACACATCACTAAAAATGATGACAACTTGCTGTAATTTTCTTTGATGAAAATCTTTTTTCATTTTTTTTTGCACAATTATTCTAATATTTCTAATTCCCACTGTCTAGTACACATTTTCTATCTTGTGACAAAGCACTTCTATGATGTAAATATGACATGAAGAACATTCAAAGCATCAATATCATTTTGGTTTTATATATAGCCTATCAATGTTTTTGAGACATTTTTTACTCCCATGTGCGAAGCACATAATGGGAGTCTTTGCAGTTAGTGTGGGTGTATCTATGTATGTCTGTGTGTGTGTGTGTGTGTGTGTGTCTGTCTGTTCCACTACTATCTCAAGAACCACACATTGGTTTTTGATGAAACTTGGTGTATAGATGCTCTGGAACAATGCGCAGATTTGATTGTGTTTTGGTGGAAATCCGCACATATTAATTACCTAATTTGAATGATAATTAGCTAATTTTTAGCGGTTCCATGACTGTTCCACTGATATCTAAACAACCACTTATTGGATTTTGATGAAACTTGGTACATATATGCCCTGAACTAATGCTATGTTTTGATTAGTTTTTGGTAAAAATCCGTGCGTACTAATTTCCTAATTTGCATAATGATTAGTCAATTTTCGATTTTTCCACTGATATCTCAAGTACTAATCATCACATTTCAATGAAACTTGGTACATAGTTATCATATGACACTGTACAGACCTAATAGTTTTTATGGTTATATCAGTACATATTAATTACCTAATTTGCAATGCATAATTAATTAATTTTCAGCTTTTGATATAAGTAGTGAGCATTACATTTCAATGAAACTTGGTACATAGATACTCAAGGACTATGCAGTGATTGATTGTTTCAGGATAAATATTTGTGCATATTAATCACCCAATTTGCATAATTAGTTAATTTTCAGATTTTCCACGGATAT